TAAAAAAATTATTAACATAAATAAATAAATGTAAACGATTTTTTAAATCGTTCGGAAACCTGTGATCACCCTCTGTAAATCAAAACATATCTTGTATTTATATATTGTCAAAATTTAAAAATTAAAATGACTAGAATTACTGAAATTATCAAAATAATTAAAATAACTAAAATAACTGAAATTATTAAAATTACTAAAATTATTAAATAATTAATTGAAATAACAAAATATAAAAATAGTTAAATATAAATAGCCAAAATAGAAAATAATCAAAATCTATTTTATCAAAATACATTTTGATTATTATAATAAATTTCAGTTATTTTTATTTTATTATTGTTTTATTATTGTTTTATTATTGTTTTATTTTTATTTTTATTGTTTTTATTATTTTTATTATTTTTTTATATTTTTTAAATAAATAAAATTATCTAAAAAAATTTGTTAATTAGATTCAAATATAAAATTATTATAATTTATTATTAATCTAAAGAAATTAAATATATAATAAATTAATTATAAATTAGCCTAAATTAGATATTAACTAAAATTTGACTTTTCTAATTTATAGCTAATTGATATACAATAGCTATTAAAAGAAATGCAAGTAGTCATTTATAGGTTTAAAAGTATACAATTTATTAACTATAAATATTTGAATTATAATTTTATATATTTTTTAATTTTTAAGTTTCGAAGATTATTTTATATTAAAAAATTTTTTAATTAAGAATATTAATTTTGCATAAATTATTAATTTATATAAAATTAATATTATTAATTAAAAAAATTTTTTAATATAAATGATTTTCAAATTTAAAGATTAAAAAATATATAAAATTATAGTTCAAATATTTATAATTAATACAGTCTCTGCTAAAAGTAATAGCAGTCAATTTTATAACTTAACACATGCGATTTATTAATAAACCCAATTAAAATTTTTTTAAATAAAATATGAATATCATAGTTGCAATTTTTATTAATTAATTAGTATTTAGTATATACTCCTTCTGCATCAATGCATGCTATAATTCAATTTGGCATACTATTGATGCAGTTAACTATTATATTATCGTCAAAATCATTCCATTCTTCTTGAATTATATTATAAAAAATTTTAATTAATATTTTTTTTTTCTGTGCCACTATTTTCTTAATCTTTATCTCAACTTTTCTTTTTAAAATAGCCTAAAGATTTTCAATCGGATTAAGATCTGGACTATAAGATGGTCATAGAAGAACTCAACCCAGAAGGTGAATTTTCAAGTCCCTTTGAACATCATGGGATTTGTCTTTCAGGTCATTATCTTGCTAAAAAATCCATTGATGATCTAATAATTCATTCGCATTATTATAAAGCTGATCATTAAGAATTCGGCGATACAAATGATGATCAAGATTTTCTGTAAACATGTGCATGCCGATTTTTCCTTTAATATTGATTGTAGCTCAAACATGCACTTTAAAGGGTGCTTAACCATGGGTTGAACCAGTTTTCCATCACAGGACCATGCAAGGGATGTGTTACGAAATATTTGGATTATTATTTCGTCAGAAAAAACTACACTTTTCCAATCATATTGCAAATGTTCTTGTGTCCAAGATAAGCGAATGTCTTTCGCTTTTTGGATCAAAAGAGGAACTTTTCACAGAAGAACTGCTATATAACTAAGCCTAGAATGATCTTGATGGATAGTTGTTTCACTGATTTCTAGTTCTGAATCATTTTCTTCTAATATAGCCTTCAGTTCCCTAACTGTAGTGAAATAATCATGCTTAATGATCATTCCAACATGCTGACATTTTGCAGGGGTTAATTTTCGTAAGCAGCCAGATTGATGAATTTCTAGAATATTGCCATTTTTTCGTAAAATGACAACATATCTTTCACAAGAACGTAAAAGAACTCCAGTTCAGTTGGAAATTTTCTTTTGCATTATGGATATTTTTATTTCAAAGATATTTTACGACTTCGCAATTTGCTTTAATAGATGTCGATAGCATTTGGTATAGTGGTAATTTAGGTTAAGTTTAAAATAAATAAATAATATTTAAGATCAGGTTTTTTGTTTATTTTATTAAAAACAACATCATATTGCCTAAATCAGCCTAATTAATAAGGCGTCAAATTGGAACACCAGAGAAACTGTAACCAAAATATTATTTAATATTCCCACTGCCATTATTTTCAGCGGGGACTGTAAGTTATAGGCTTTTAAACCTAAAAAATAACTACTTGTATTTTTTTTGGTAGTCACTGTATATTAAGAATTATAGTCAACCCTCTTTAAATGCATCCTCTCTAAATGCATATATTATATATTTACTCTCTAAATGTACGCTCTTATTCAGTCTCAAGCATATAGAATTCATATAGAAATTTTTTTTTTAAATGCACACCTTCTTTAAATATACATTTTTTAAAATTTTCATTATAGTCCTGAAGAAGTGAATTTAGAGAAGGTTGATTGTAATTAAAATTTACCTTATCTTATTTATAACTGATATCATATACTACTGCATACAATACTTAAGATTTTAATCAAAAATATAATTTTTTAAATTGAATACTGTAAATTTCTCTGTAACATATCCTTCTATATATATATACAATATTGGCTAATTTTAAAGATTTTCATGGTGAATATTAATTTTAATAACAATAAATCTAAAGAAAAGAAATTAATAAATATTATAAACAAAAATTATTAATATTTCAAAGTAAATTCTAATACCATACCAGATAGTTTTAATATTTTATTTATTTTGATTATATAAATTCTATTTAATATCTATTCTAATTTTTTTTGCTATAATTTAATTGTTTTTTGATTTTTTACTTTCAATTAATAACCCACAATACTTAAATGAATGCTTAATTAAATTTGGATCAATAGATTTCTAAGCCAATTTTATCTATTCAGCAAGTTGAAAATATGATAGTTTTTTAATATGATTTGAAGGTGTTATTTTATAAATTTTTTTGACATCCATTAGTTATATAAGATATGAACCTTTTAAAATCATTTAAAAATTAAATATTAAAATACATTAAAATGAATTATTTTATAATATGATATTATTATAATGTATAAATAAAGTTACCTTTGATTTAAAACTTTTACTAATGATTGTAATTTAGGTGTTAATCCTTTAGGAATTATAGCTATATTTGTATTTTTTATAGTAAGTTGATCTTTAACTGAATCAATTTAATGTGCGTGAAATGAATCAAAAATTAAAAATAAATGTGAATTATCTAATATAAATCTTTTAGCCCAAATATTTTCAATCTACTATAATATTTCATTTTCATTAGACCAGTCTTTTTTATTAGTACAAATAAATATACTATTAGAAAAGTTTTTTTAAAATATATTTTTTAATTTAAAAATACAGACTGGAAGTAATTTAGTTCTATCAGCCATACATGCAAGAACTATAGTAAAGTTTTTTTTCTCATTACCTATAGTTCAAATACTAACTGTATAAGCTTCACATTTTTTAATTGTTGTTAGATTTGATAAATCAAAAGTATGTGAAGTTTTGTTCATATTTCTAATTAAATACATTAGATAATTATATTAATTACATTTATTTAAAATATAATTAAGGAATCCTGTTTTTTTTCTTCTGAATCTTTAGGTAAACAGGAGATGATCAGTAAAAAAGGGAAAAATCCACTTTTTAGTCAAAAATTTTTTTATTGGCTCACTCTGCTGATCATGGTTATGTGAACAAAACTAGCTTAATAACTAAAATTATTTAAAATTTGTAGATTTTTCTCTTTTCTATTGACCGCCTTCCAAATGTTATACAATTATAATATGTTATCAAATTGATAAATCATATCAATTTAAAAAGCTATCAAGCTATTTACTTGAAAATTTAAATTTTTGAATATTAGGTAAATTTTGAAAATCTGTATTCTGAGTAAATGAGGATGCTTTTATAGTTATCAATGCTCAAGTAACAAGAATTTTTAGTTATCTTTGATAAGTAATTTATTCAAATAAGGCAACTTCTAATTGTGGATATTTGGATGATCTTCCTTTATACAATTTAAAAATTTTTGAAGATGCGTTAATTAAATTTGTTTTTAATTTATCCATTCTTATAATTATTTAGGTTGAATATTAAACTTTTTGCATATTTCACAAATGCTAATTACATTTTTTTTATAATATGTGATAATTGCTAATTTTTCACAATTATACTACTATCTTAATAATTTTTTAGTTATTTGTATTTTTAAAATACTTTTATTATTATTTTTAACTGCCATCTTAAATTAATGTACTCATATTAAAAATATGGAAGTATTTATATCAATTTATTAATAATTACAATATTATTTTAAATAAAAATATATTAAATAATATCAAATAAAATTCTGAAATAAAAAAACTAAAAATTTATTATTACATATTTCTTGTAATGATATTTTAATATATAAAAAAAGTTTTATGAAATAATAACCAAAATCATAATAATAACTAAAATTACATCATATGCTATAATGTTACATTAAAATTTTTAAGATTTTTTTGCATTAGAATAATAATTATTGATATAAAAAAATCTAACATGATTCTTATTATAACTGAAAATAATTAAGTTATAATAAAAAGAAATCATTTATTATATTTATTATTTTATTTAATAAAATATTTTTTTAACTCTTATTTGATCTATAAAGAAATTTAGCTTTAAACCTCCAAATATTGACTATTAATCTTGTAAAATAATGATAAATATGTACTATAAAAATTTTCAAAATTAGCCAATATGTATGTATTTATAGAAGATACATTACAAGAAATTTTCAGTAGTATTCACGGATACTAAATGAGAAATTGGATATTATTTTAAGGGGTAATAAATGGGAAAAATTGTATATAAAGGTTAGAATTACACAACTTTAATAAATATTAAAAAAAAATTAAATTTATTTTCTCTTCTTCAGCCACTTCTTAATGTATACATGGCCTTCAATATACACTTCGTAAATATTGAGAAAAAATAATACTTTTTCCTTCTTTTATATAAAATTATGAAAAATATTAATGTAATAGGAGAATACACTATACAAAATGATATTATGAAAGAAGTCTCAATCTCTTATGTTGATAACACTACGCTTTTAAATTTTGCTTTTTCAACTTTATAAAATTAAGTAATCTATTAAAAAATCAGAGTTGAGTTATAATAATAAGAACATTTCTGAATGTAGAAATTAATATTTCTTTTTTAGATTAAGGTTCATAATGTTTCTTTAAATAATTTGCCTTATGATAAAAAAAAAGACGCAAAAATTTTTAAATTTAAAATTATTAACAACTATTAGTATTTTAAAAAAATACCAAGAAGAAATTTTCATGCATGACAAGCTACAAATTCACAAAAACAAAATCAACGATAAAATGTTAAAGAAAAATTAATAGTTGTATTTTACTATGAAAATGGATATAGTATTCAAATCACTGCAAATAAATATAATATACAACTAAAATAAGTTCGTGACTGAAAGACTAAGAAAAATGCTTTAATGCATGCAGCCCTATATAATTAATGCCTTAATATTAGTGTAAGATCAAAATATTCACAATTTGAGGTAGAACTTTTGGAGTAGTTTATGAATTTAGAAATCAATTAAAAAACTGTAACTAGATATATAATTAGTGAAAAAGCTTGTAATTTAGCTAAAAAATAAGAATATCTTATCTTATATCTTTATATTCATAAATGTCAATTTTCTCATAAATAGGTGGATAGATTTATATCTTATCATTTGTTAGTAAATCACTATTGTATTACAGTTATATAAAAATTATCTGAAGAATATAATGAAGAATAATAAAGTTTTCTCTTATATATTCTTTATCAAAAAACTCAACATAATTATCTTTTAAAATTAATTGGTTACATAGATAAAATACTTATGGCATTTAATTTACCAAGTTAAATAACTATTAAAGAGCATAGAAAGAGAACTATTTTAATTCTTACAATAGGATATGAATACACTCATTTTATAGTGATTTTTGCAGATGTATTAAACTGCCTCCATTTATAATTTTTAAATTAGTTAAGGTATCATAAGAGCAGTTTTCAGATGGTGTATATATTTATACTAATCTAAGTAGCTGGATAGATAAGAAAGAATACTTTGGTGAATGGAAAATATATAGTATAAATAGACTAATTTAGGTTCAAATCTATAATCTCTTCTTATTCTTGATTCATTTAGTATTTATCGAACAGATTTAGTAAAATATTAGTTTAATGAAAAGAATACAAATATTGCTATTATACCAAGTAGTCTGACCTCACATTTACAATCATTAGATATATCTTTAAATAAAGTATTTAAAGTAAAGATTAGTTTAGTATTGATTTACTTAATCTATATAAATATAAAGAATTTTTTATTAATTTTTAAATTTATTACACTTATAATTAATGGATGGATAAAGCTATAAAGAAATATATATCAGTGATAAAATTAAATAATCATTATACTTATTAGTAGCAAATTAGTTTAAATAAGTATAAAACAATATTGATTTTGCAATAGCATAACAATTTTTTAAGTGTTGTGAGATTTTTACAGCAGTAGATAGTACCAAAGATAATTCTATTTTTGATTTTACAAAAGTATTAGATAAAAATAATAGAAATATTAGTGTTGAAAAAGAGGGAGAAAGTTAAAAAGAAGATAATAAAAGTGATTCAGTATGCGAATATTATAAAAATAAAGTGAAAAATTATATTAATATCTGGGATTTACAATTTAGTATTATGAATATTAATTAAATAAATAAACTTATCTTCAAGATTATAAGTTTTATAAAAAATTAAATGTGATCTTGCATTTTATGAGATTTGCATTCTATATATAATTTTTTATTTTTATGTATTATATATAGAATGTTTTATATTATTAATTTAATTTTTTTACATAAAATAATGTGAGATAATAATAGTGTAAATAGTGTAATAATGACACTATATTGATTAAATAATATCCCTTGTGATGTGTTAAAATTTTGTTGAAATTTTTGTTAAAATTGTGTTAAGAAATCACATTGTTTTTATTAATTTTTAATTAATTTTTTATTAAACTTGTGTTAAAATTACTTATTGATTTTTTATTAAATTATGGTAAATAATTTTATAATGAATTTTATTTATCACTGATGTAATAATTTGTTATTATTGATCTACTCTGATTGTCTGATGTATTATATTTATTAATTCATATAAGTTATTTTTGAATTGATCTAATTTTTATAAATAATATGATACATAATTATAATAAGATGCTTAGATTATTATTTTGACTATTTATTTTTAATATAAATCAGAATTTTATTTATGAAGGATTCTTATTATATTATTTCAATCATGAGTTTTGAATTTCATTAGATATCAAATTAAATGAATAAATTTATTTATAAAGGGAAGTATTTTACTATTATATAATTTTTTACCTTTTGTATCTTAAAATAACTAAATTTTCATCCTTAAATCATATTTTATTAACAAAAATGATTACAAAAATAATTTGGAATAATAATAAAATAGATTTGTTAGTAAAGGAAGGAAGAAGAAATAATAAATACTATATTAGATATAGAGAAAATTAAATAGAGTTCTGGAGGAGTATAGCTTAATGTATAAAATTGAAGATATAATATAATATATTTAACTCACCAATGCAAGTTGAAATGGAGAAATTTAATATATAATTATAATGTAAGTAAATAAATAAATAATAATATAATGATAAATATAACTTAACAGTATAATTAATATCTTTAGGATTTTTGTAATTATTAAAATAATGCAAAAAGAAATAGGAGATAAATCTATATAGCAGAAAGATTATACAACCTCTTTAAGACTGAATTTTAAATAAATCAGATAATAATTAAAAATGTTTAAATGATTTTTTAGATTTATATTAAAAATATTTACTTTTTAAAATTGAGATACACTCGAAGGAGAAATCATAATTTGTCTACTATAAAATAAATTTAAAATATAAGACAAAATCATGATGCAAGCCTAAAATATAAGATAAAATCGTAACATACCTGTAAGGCAATAAATATTTCATTTAATTTTTTTGTTTTATCTTATTCATTTAATTTTGTTTTTTTCTCATCTCATTCACTTAATTTCATTTTATATTTTTATTTCATTTTTTTTATTTTATTATTTTATTCATTTAGTTTTCTTTATTTTATTTTATAGTTTTGTTTTATTTTCTTAATTTCATTTTTTATCTCGTTTAATTTTTTTTAATTTCATTTAGTTTTTTAATTTTATTTTTTCATATTGTTTTATTTTTTTGATTTTATTTTTTCATCTCATTTTAATTTCTTTTTATTTCATTCTTATTTTTTTTTATTTTATTTTTAAAAAAATGATAAATTTTTTTTAAAAAAAATTTATAAATTAATAAAACTATTCATATAATAATAATATGAAAATATTTCTGAAAAAATTATATTATAGTAAAATTATATTTGTGTAATTAAATTAGTAATCATCTACTATACTGAATAATTTATTATAACATTAACAAATTTTTTTATAATAAAGGTCTAATTAGTTTGAATACTAAATTCATTATTTTGTAAAAATGAACATTTTATAAATTTTATAAAAATTAACCTTTTACAAATTTTAAAAATGTATTATAATTATACCTGGGTAATAATCAAATTTCATAAAGTTTAGCTTTGAATAGTATCTAGGTACTATTTGTAATTAGATCAATATAGATAGTGAATAGTATGTAAGTATTAATCTAAGTATTAATCACGAAGAGTATTATTTTTAGAAGATACTGTATGCAGTAATATACGATAAATATAATTACATTAAATTTATATCACTAATTCAAAAAATATACTTAAATATTATTAGCTACTGAATTGAATTAATCTAGTAGGAATAAATAGTTTATTTGAATAGATCAAAATTACTAGACTTAGACTAATTATAATATATAATTATATATATGAAAATAATTTTGATAATTAAAGATATAAAGAAATAATAATAAAATGAAAATAATTTTGATAATTAAAGATATAAAGAAATAATAATAAAATAAATAATAATAATAAGTATAATCAAACTTTAATATAACAAAGTAGATATTCAGGTTGATTTAATTTTCTTAATAAGAAAATTTGTTAATATTATAGCAAAATTCGCTATAATAGTGTATTATGTATTATTAATTGATTTACAATTAATTAAATTTTATAATATAGTATAATAAAAACATTTTCAACTAATAAGACTAAATCCATTTCTAATAATTTAAAATTTACAAATTTTAGCTTATTTGAAAATACTTGATATTTTTAATTTAATAATCTTTGTTTGGTGACTTTTTGATTAATCAGTTATTTTTTATAAACAATTAACAATCTTTTATAATATATTTTTATATTTTAAGACTCTATAAGTAATATTTTATTTCTTATATAATAAATAAATAAATTTTTTATTTTAATTAAGTAATCTGAACTTAGTATTATTAGAAAATTAATTCAAAATTTATTTATTAATTTTTTCTTCAAAATTGAATTTAAATTTGCTTAAAATTTTATAATTAAAATTTTATTAACTCTTAAAACTATTTAAACATTCAATTAAATAATTGATTTTGAATACTTATAAATAATTCTAATTTCTTATATATTAACATATAGTTTTCTTATTTTCTTTAAGTTTACAGATGATAAAAATAATATTTAAATTTATTACTTTTAAACAGTTTTTTTTGCTGTAATTCTAGTATTTACATCTGCTTAAAATACTTTCATGATAAGTTTCAAAATAATTTTCTCAAATACTCTAAATCTAGTGATTAAATTTTAACAAATTTAAATGTATTTAAAAGTTCAAAATCTATTGAATTAACTTATTAAAGTTAAATAAAAATTATTCTAGTTTATGTTAAGATGATTATTATTATTATTATTTATTATTATTATTATTATTTTATTATAGTTCATTATATTGAATCAGAACTTTACATTTTATTATTTACTAATACTTAATGTTATTACAACTTCATATGATTTAATTTTGATAAATTTTAGCTTATTTTAAAGCTTTATTAGAACTAAATCTATAAATCTTGAATTGTAATTTCACTTAATAATTATTTTGAAGACTCATAAATAATCCTATTTTCTTATATATTATTATATAGTTTTCTCACTTTTTTTAGATTTTCAGATACTAATATTAGTATTCAATATTATTACTATTTAGACAATTTCTTTGTTTTTTAGTTCTGGTATTTATATTTGCTTAAGATTCTTCTATAATGAATTTTAAAATAATTGCTTCTGTTTTTCATAAAATATCTCTAGATAAAATAATTGAACTTAATAAATTTAGATTTGTTTAATAGTTAAGAATCTATAAAATCTACTAGTTAAAGTTTGATGTGTAATTAGTCTAGTTAATATTGAGATATTCATGTTCAAATATCATTATTGCAAATTGGAACTTTGCATTTTTAATCAAATTATTTATATTTTTTTATATAGTAAAATCTGTATCAGATTAAAATTCCTTATAATGTGAAATTCATTATGTCAAAATGTATTATATTAAGAGCATTGCCGGACAATTTTATCAATGAATAGATGTGTACATTTGACTAGGATCGAAAACAATGGAAAGGATGTGAGTGTGTTTGCTTTTTCTTAGTTCTTTTGTTTTTATGAATCACTAACTTATTTATTATATGTCCATTCAAGGTAAATTAAACGCATAAGTCATAATGTATTATAAACATGTGATAAAACTTCTGCGAACTTAGTTTGTATGTTTTGGTTTTTTTATTTTTCAATGATAAGCTTTATTGCTTTGGCTAAACTGGAAACTCTTTAGATCATGGAATAATGGAAAATAATTTACATTAATGATGGTAATATTCAGAAGATGAATAGGTGTATAATGATTTATCTAAAATAATTGGTACTATTGGATTTCCAGTTATATCAACATCTCTTGACATAATTAAAGCCTTGAAAGATTCTAGACAAAGATTTTCTCAAAAATTTTTCTCTGGCCATTATTCGTACAATGTAACAATCTGAGAACATGTTCAAAAAGATATATTGTTTTATGCTTTATTGAATAAACTTATTAATCATTCTAACAATGAATATAATGATGTCATTTTTATTGTTGGTAGTGAGAAGGAACAAATTGGTGCAAGTAGATATGTGCTTTCAGGTGCGTTAGAAATATTTTAGTCAAATTTTTTTTCTCAATTAAGTAATAAATTTTTGTTTTCAAATTGCCGCATCGCCTTACTTTAATATGATGTTTTGTGATGGCTTTAGTGAGTCAGCAAGCAAAGAAGTTATAATTATAGAATTAAAAGATGTTTGACCAGAGTAATGCCGGGTGTTTCATCAATGGCTGTATGAACAATCTTTTGAAGAAGCAACAAAGTCACCTTACATAAGAAAGAAAACTTTACAGACAAACAGAAAGTTATGAAACTTATTATTTAAACTTTTTGGTTCATTTGTTAAAGATTACTGATATCCATGGTGCTGACGCACTCAAAGATAAAGTGGAAGATACTATTATAAGAAGTCATGTTAATGTTCATAATGTGTGCGAATTTTAGAATGGTCAAAACAAAGCAAAGCATCACAATTAATAAATCACTGCGAACAGTACATTGAATGGAGAGGATGAACATGAAATTTCTGAAGAAACAGAAATGGTAAACACGTTACTTGAAAGATAGATAGATAATTTAAGGGATTCTTATATTTATTTATTATT